AGAGAGAGAGAGAGAAAGACCAAACAAAAATGGCGACCGCAATCTTCCTCGCTCGCCTGGCGGCCCCGCGAAGCGGGGTCGGCGACGAGCAGATGCTGGGGGCGCCGGCGATCAGCGCGGGGGCCCCGGCGATCCCGCGGGCGCGAGCATGGGCGATCCACCCTCATATTGCGGCCCGGCGGGGGGCCCCGCCCACGGGCCAGCGGCTGCTGAGAAGCGCCCCTCGCAAGGTTCGTGGCCCCGCGGGGGTCGTCGCCTCGGGGGCGGGGGCCGCGCGCGTCGCCGTCTCGTCGCAGGCCCAGCGGGGGGGGGGGGTTGAAGACAGGTGCGGCGAGTTCGCCGACGCGGTTGCGCACTGCGTTTTGCTCGCGCTGCAGCTGGCGCGGCTCAAGACGCTCGAGGCATCCACGACTGAAGCTTCTTGAAGGCGCGGTGCCGAGGAGGCCCAAAGCGAAGGCAGCGACGGAAGATGCGCAGAAACGATTAGGCCCTCGAGGGGGGGGGGGGGGGGGCGGGGGGCAGGGGGGGGGGCGGTGCGAAGGCGCGGCTTCAGGCCCTTCGGCCCCGCCCCCCGATCCTGCCCCCCACCCGTCTTCGCACCCCCCTTCCTGCTCCGCGTGGAGGAGGGGGGGGGGTAGGACGACGAGTTATGTTTATAGCGCAGCCGAGCGCTTAAAAATACAGCTTGCCCTAAAACTCGCCGCAGGTGCGCTAGCGGGCCCCAAATTTAAGGCCCGCTCGCGCGCCCGCAGCGCAATCTCGGCAGGAAGAGGCGAGATTGCCCCGACAGGCGCCCCGTCTTTTCTGCGCATTTCCGTTGCTGCGCGAGGCCGAGGCGCTGCCCAGGGCCAGCGCCGACCCTGTCGTCGACGCGCTCACTGAGCATCGCGAGAGGCGCGGCCGCCTTGATTTTGGACGCCACGAGAAGAAGGATGGGCCGTTTGTGCGCGAGCCCCCCCTCTTCCGAACAGCGTTGACGTCGACGTTGGAGAAGCGCCCATCAGGCGCGCCGGCTTGCGGCTTGCCAGTCCTTCAAAGACCTGTTCCTGGAGGCGTTCTTCGGCGATGAACCAAAATTGAACCCACGGGCCAAAGAGAAGGGCTGGGGCCTCGTTGAATCTGCAGAGGAGGCGTCTAAGATCTTCGAGAACATGGCCATCTCTGTGCGCCGCCTGGCGCTCTGCCCCAAGAAGTTCAAGAAACGCCTCAAGAGCGTCGGCGCGGAGGAGATGGAGAAGTTGAAGGAGCTCATCAACGAGATTGCGCGCGACGGGTCCAATGTCGAAGTTGCCCAGACAGCCGCCGCGGCGCCGCCGTCGCCTGTCTCTGTTCCGCCCGCTTCGTCCGAGCCGTGGCCTTCGCTCGACGTCGCGGCGGGCGGCGCGGGCGATGCCTTTCCAGAAGCCCCGACTCCAGCAGGGGCCCCCGAGATCCAGCAGATGCCCCGGGGCCCCCGGCTCCAGCAGGCCACGGCGCGCCGCCTAGTGATCGCCGCCCCGCGTTTGCAGAGCGCAGCAACCAGACCTCCAAAGGCAGGAAGGGCGACGCGCCTGCAACGCCTGACCCCAAGAGTTTCAAGTTGCCCGAGGGGTGGGGCACCCGGAAGCGCAAGCGTCAATCGGGCGAGTCCAAGGGGAAATCTGACACGCACTACCCACTACCTCAGCCCTGGCGGCAATGAGTTTCGGGGCACGGCGAGGGTGAAGGAGTTTTTGGAGTCCAAGAAATTGCGCCGCAAGGAGAAAGGCAAGTAGGCAAACGTGAATGATGCTTGCCAGGGGCCATGTGTTTTTTTGTTTGCACGCTGCCAGACCTTTTCTGGGGGGGGGGAAGGCCGCGGCGGGATGACACGGGGGGCGGGTGCACTGAGCGATGGATTTCCCTGGTGGGGCGGCAGTTCGATTTGCCAGCAGCGCGTGCCCGACTTCTGCGGCGCGCGCCTATGTGTTGCCATTCGTTGCAGTCTTGCGCGCCCATTCACGCCTTTCCCCCCTCCCCCGCCTCCACCGCGGAACTGGGCTGCCCATCTGGCCCGCCCCGTGTCGTTGTGTGTTTTTTGTTTTTACAACAAAAACCTTATTGCGAAATTTGAGGGTTCTATGGCGGAGCCCTGTTCCCTGTTGCACGGCCGCGCTGTTTTTGCGCGTTGTCGCTTCGGGGTCGCAATGTGTTTTCTGTTTGCCTTCGGGGGTGGGCGGGGCGGGCAACCCGCGATTCCATGGGCGGGCGCGGGGGCGGCGCGCGCAGCAAGGTCGCTATCGATATTGTTGACGCCTTGCCTTTGTCACTCGCCGCGTGCCACATTTGGCTTTCCCGCTTCCTTTCGTGATGCTTGTCTATTCGATGCAATTGGCCTCGGTCTACGCCCGTCTCTTGAAGTTTTCCCCCTGGCCAGTTGCCGCGCGTGTCAATGGGCCTATGTTGATTGTAGTGGCCTCCGGCCAGTGCCGCCGAACCGGGCGATTCCGCTGCTGTCGGGGGCAGCCCGGCGCGTCCCTGTTCCTCCTCCTCCTCCTCATCCTCCTCCCTCGCCACCGTCACCTTTTCCGTCCTGGTTGTCCTCGCCCCCATCTTGCCCCCCCCTCCGCGGGTGCCCAGGGGGGGGCGGTTCAAAGAAGGGAGAGGAGTTTTTTTTTCCCAAAACGAAAACAGGGCGCAGGGGGGGGGCAGCGGGAGACGGCCCCCCCTGCATATCGAATAACCAATAACCTAAGCCCAACAGGCCTTGCGGTCGCCGGAAAAAAAGGACGGGATAAACAACAGCAAACACACAAAACAACAACAACAACAACAACAACAACAACAACAACAACAACAACAACAACAACAACAACAACAACAACAACAACAACAACAACAACAATCATCTTAATAATGATCGTTCTTATATGCGCCGCCCCGTCACTCAATATATAACTCCCAAACCCTCGATACCCGCCCTCTTCGTCTTCTGTCATACCCCTTTGTGGGGGTATCACTTCCCTACCTTCCGCTGGTAGTTGGCGCAGCCCCTAAAAACAGGAAAGCAGGGGGAAGGAGGAAGGGAGAACGAGGGAGAAAAGAGTAGGGGAGGGAGGGATCGGAGGGAGGAGCAAGGGGGGGAGAAGGATGGATTGGAGGACGAAGAGGTTGACATGAGGGAGGGGGGCAAGAGGAAGAGGAGGTTTAAACAAACGGACGAACCAGACAGACGGGTCGAGCGGCGGACTCTGAGGGGCGGGAGCCGTTGTTGTTGTAGTCCGGGGGGCCAACAACACAGTTTGATGCTCAGTTGTAAAGGAAGTCCCAGGCGGGAGCGCCGCTCCCGGAGTAATTTGCGAGAAAGTCTCAGGCGGGAGCGCCTCCGCCTGAGTAAACTGCGAGGAAGTCCCAGGCGGGGGCGGGGGTCTGGAGTAATTTGCGAGGAAGTCTCAAGCGGGAGCGCCTCCGCCTGAGTAAACTGCGAGGAAGTCCCAGGCGGGGGCGGGGGTCCTGAGAAAATTTGGAGGAAGTATCAGGCGGGAGCCGTTGTTGTTGTTGTTGTCCTGGGGGCCAACAACGCAGTTTGATGCCCACGACTTTCCTTGATAACAAACAGGGTGCGAGCCCCGGAAGGGGCACTTCAATTGAAAAAATACAATGTCCGCCGGAGGGGGGGATCAACAATAATTATTCGTCAGTAATGAGAATTCAACAACAACAACACCAACAACAACAGCAGCAACAGCGAGAGGAGTTTTTTTTTCCAAAACGAAAACAGGGCGCAGGGGGGGGGGCAGCGGGAGACGGCCCCCCCTGCATATCGAATAACCAATAACCTAAGCCCAACAGGCCTTGCGGTCGCCGGAAAAAAAGGACGGGATAAACAACAGCAAACACACAAAACAACAACAACAACAACAACAACAACAACAACAACAACAACAACAACAACAACAACAACAACAACAACAACAACAACAACAACAACAATCATCTTAAGACTGATCGCTCTTATATGCGCGCGCGTCACTCAATATGTAAATCCCAAACCCTCGATACCCACCCTCTTCGTCTTCGGTCATACCCCTTTGGGGGTATATCTTTTTTACTCGCCACGTGTAGTTGGCGCAGCCCCTAAAACAGGAAGAGCAGGGGGAAGGAGGAAGGGAGAGCGAGGAGGAAAAGAGTGGGGGGAGGGAGGGAGGAGGGAAGGGGCAAGGGGGGGAGGATGGATGGAGGACGAAAGAGGTTAGCAGGAGGGGAGGGGGGCAAAAGAGGAGGTAAACAAACGGACGAACCAGACAGACGGGTCGAGCGGCGGACTCTGAGGGGCGGGAGCCGTTGTTGTTGTAGTCCGGGGGGCCAACAACACAGTTTGATGCTCAGTTGTGAGGGAGGTCCCAGGCGGGAGCGCCGCTCCCGGAGTAATTTGCGAGGAAGTCTCAGGCGGGAGCGCCTCCGCCTGAGTAAACTGCGAGGAAGTCCAAGGCGGGGGCGGGGGTCCGGAGTAATTTGCGAGGAAGTTTCAGGCGGGAGCGCCTCCGCCTGAGTAAACTGCGAGGAAGTCCCAGGCGGGGGCGGGGGTCCTGAGTAAATTTGGAGGAAGTATCAGGCGGGAGCCGTTGTTGTTGTTGTCCGGGGGGCCAACAACGCAGTTTGATGCCCGCGACTTTCCCTGATAAAAAACACGGTGCGAGCCCCGGCAGGGGCACTTCAATTGACAAAAATACAATGTCCGCCGGAGGGGGGGGATCAACAATAATTATTCTTCAGTAGTTAGAATTCAACAACAACACCAACAACAACAGCAGCAACAGCAACAACAACAGAAACAATACCATCAACAACGGTCGTAGCCACTTTCGGCTCAAAATCTTTCATGCCATCTGTGGTTTCTCTGTATCGGACGAGCATTTCGCGTAGTCAGTGTCCCCGCGTGTGTCCATGGGGCCCAAATTGCAGTTGACGAGAGGTAAGCCTGCCATCAAAGAATCGCCAGCACCGACGAAGGCGACTGGAGTCGGCCCAGCTTTGCGCAGGCCAGCCGCCCTCGATGACGAAACTCAATTCGGGCCCAACCTGAAGGCGATCATGAACAAGCCGTGGGCCGACGTGAGCAAGGCAGAGCAGGACAGCGTTATTCGGCAGATGGGCCAGAGAAGGGCGCGTGAGTTGTTGGCCGACAGCTGGCGCCCGCGCCCTTCCTACTTCAGCGACGAGACGGCTCTGGAGAAACTGCTTCAGGGGCACTCGCCGTGTCGGGCGGCGGGTTGTCCGACAAGGGTCACGCCCCTCAATATCGACCTCGTGGGTCTGCTAGGCTCAGTTCAGGAGTGTCCATTAGTGACTGACATGGCGCCCCTGGGGGTCATCGGATTCCTGTGGGCCTATCAGGAGCGCACGCTGGCGCCATCCGCCGACGTGTACGAGACCGCCCCCTACTTCGATCCTGTGCTGAGGTTCAGTCAGAGGGAGTATCATCGTCTGCTCCGCCGTCTAGCGGAGATCGGCATTATATCTTGGACGTCTACCCCGAAGAGCCAGGCGGGCCTCTTCGCGATGGAGACGGACGGCGGCGCGGCCCAGCGCCTCATCGCCGACGCCAGGCGGGCCAACGAGTGCTTCAAGGCGCCGCCAGGCGTGTCTCTGCTGGGATCGGAGGGGCTCTCTCGCGCGGAGGTGGAGCTGCCCGCCGACGCGCCGCTGGGTTCCGAGCGGACTGTCGAGCTGCTGAGCGACTTCTACTTGGCGGTCGGGCTCTCCGAAGTCTCGAACTGCTTCCATCGGCTGCGCCCGCCTGCGCGGCCGCCTGACTACTTCTGCCCCCCCCCCCCCCGGCGCCGCCCCGCGCGATGGGAGCGGCGGGCGCGGAGGTGCGCGGCCGCCGGCTCGGCCGCGCGGAGGCAGCAACCCCGCGCCGGGCCGTCCTGCCCATGGGCTCCGCGTGGAGTTTGTGGATCGCGCAGATGATCGACGAGGCCGTGTGACGAGGGTTGCGCCCTCGCTGCCGAGGCCCCCTCTGCAGGACCGCGCGCCGCCGCTGGTGGTGAGGCCCTGGCTGGCGGAGGAGGCCGACGAGATCGGCTACTACGCGCGCGTGGACAACCTCGGCGCGATCGGGGTCTGCGAGAAGGCTGTCGGCCGGGTGCTCGAGCAGCTGGAGGGGGGCTTCAATCGTGAGGGCCTGCTGCTGCGTGAGTCCGAGCTCTCGCGGGCGGGCATCGTGGCCTTGGGCGCAGAGCTAGACGGCGCCGCCTTGAGGGCGCGGGTCGCGCCTAAGCGCATCTGGAACGTCTACGCGGCGCTGGGCGCACTACTGAGGCGCAAGCGGGCCAGCGCCTGGTCCGTGCAGGTGGTCCTCGGCCACTGCGCCTTTGTTGCCCTGTGCTGCCGAAGGTTGCTCGGCGTCTTCCACTCGGCGCGCGCGTTCGTGGAGCGCGGGCGCGCTTCGGGCCGGGCTGAGCCGCTGCGGGGCGAGTGCCGAGAGGAGCTGCGTGTTTTCAGGCCCCTCGTGATCTTCATGGTGAGCGACTAGCTGCGCGGCTGGAACGACCCGGCGGGGCAGGCCGACAGCGGCCTTGAGGGCTGCGCCGCGGCGCAGGCCTCCTGGCCCCTGGATGCCCCGAGGGAGGTGGGCCGCACCTCCGAGCGCAAGCGCTTTCGGCGAGTCGGGCCCCCCCGTGCCCGAGAGAGCGCCCTCGAAACCGCGGGCTTCAGGTGGCAGGCGGACGGGGGCTGGTCAGTCGCCACGGGGGCAGATGAGCGGGGCTGCGACGAGCCGCCCTCGGAGACGGCGCGAGACTGGGAAGTCGTCCGGTCTTTCCCCGAGGTGCCCGCCAGTCTCTTGAAGTCAGATTTTTGGCGGTTGGTGAATGCGCAGAAATGGAAGAGAGTCGAAGGCGTTCTTGTCGAGGGAGCTCGAGCCGTAGTGAAAGGATTCATTCGTGTTGCGACCAGTGTACACGTCAGTGATATGAGACATTTGCTTCTCTGTGATAATATGTCGGTCACCCTCGCGTTTGGTAGGAACCGCGCCAAAAACTTCTTGCCCCTGGTCCAGATTCGCGCTTTCCAGGCCCACTGTTTGGCCAGGAATGTCCTTGGTGCCGTTCGTTGGATCCCCTCCGAGCTTAACTTCGCGGACAAGGGTATTCGAGTTTTTGAGAATAGCAGTGCTAGTAAGACGTTGGTCGATGAGATCCCTTCTGCGAGTGTCCAAGGCAACAGTTTAAAAGGGGACTTGTGAATATCTTCAATCCCCGAACCATTGTGATTTAGCCGCTCCTGTTCAGGCTGCCCCTCGTTGCAGGTCCGTAGGCATTTCGGCCCAAGATCTACCATGTTCCCTTCGTGTTTCTTCCGAGCCCACGGGCTGTTGCAGCCGCGGCGGCCAGGGGGCGGCAGGCGAGCTCGCCGCCTGCGGAGCCTCGGCCGACTGGGGGCCGACGAGGTCACGCGTCTCTGGCCAACCGGCGGAGGGCGACGCCCCGCCCGCAGGACGTCCAGCTGGCCTTGCGCGATCGTCTGGGCTGCAGTCGCCAGCCCCCCCGAGACCGACGAGCAGCTGAGCCGCGCGCCGGCGCTGGCCGACGTCGGCGTGAGCAGCGGCACCGACGGCGAGGCGAGGCCCGGGCCCAGCGCCGCGCGGCGGGCAGTTTTGAGGCGCGCGGGCCACCAGAGGCGACGCAAATTCCTGGGCCTCGCCCTCGCGACCCCCGCCCTGGGAGCGAGTACCTTCCTCGAGCAGAGCTCGGTGACTCCGAAGGTGCTGGGGCGCCGCCATGCCGAGGTCGGCGGCTTCATCGACTTCGCGCGCGGGCGGTCGCTGGGGTGCGAACAAGGGCGAGCAGGTCCTGGCTGGCTCGATGTGCCTGGCGCCGGATATCTCGCGGGCTGGCGGCCGCCTGCCCCCCCGGGCCCTTCGCTGCCTGAAGGGATGGCGGCGCCGGGCGCCGGGTCGCAGTCGGCGGAGGTGACCGCTGGCCCTGCGCGCTGGCATAGCTCGGCGGCTGGTGGGGCGGGGATCGTTGCAGATGGCTGCGTTTCCTCTTGTGCCCCTCAGCATGTGCTTGAGGCCGTTGTGGGGCATGGGTCGCCGTGGTGTCGTTGCGCCAGCTGCGGGGGTCTCCCCATTCTGGAACCTGCTCCTTTTCCCTTCGCAGCACGCGGAGCGGAGCAAGACAGTTCTCAGCGATGTCAGTACAGCGTTGAACTCCCCATGCCTGCAGTTTCTAGGACCGATCCTGAGAGCGTTCGTCGATGGGCCGCGGGGGGGGTCGGTCTGGGCGTTCACGTACCCGCAGCGCCCGATGGAGTTCAAAGCTGCGCTGGCCGAGCTCGAGAACGGCGAGACCATCGTGCCGTGTCAGACGAGGCGCTCGGGCTCGTCGATCGACATCGCGCGACGCTGCCGCGCCGCGTCGGAGGCGCAGCGCCGCGGCCAGTTGGCGAGTGTGAAGAGCGCCCAGCGGTGCGAGAAGGATGCCAGGCTGGGAGCGAGCTGGGAACTGCTGTCAGCTCCCGCGCGGGGGCTGCTCGAGGCCTGCGAAGCAGTGCTCGAGGGTATGCTCCTGGGGAGGCCGCGCGGCGTGACGCTCGCCTGGCGGGCCACTTCAGGGGTCGGTACGTCCTCGACGTCTATTCGGGCACCGCGGGGGTTGCTCGAGCGGCGGCCCAGCAGGGCTGCAAAGCTCGCGCATTCGATCGCGCACGCGGACCAGCAGAGGACCTCACCAGCGATAGAGCGCTGAGTCGGCTGGGCGCTGCGATGCGCCGAGGCGAAGAGCTGGGGGGCAGCGATGGGCCCGCCGTGCGATGCCTGGGGAGGCGCCGCGGATCGCGGGCGGCATGGTCCGATCCGCTCTGTGGAAGAGCCCTGGGGGCTGCCCGAGTGCTGCCTCGCGTCTCGCCGGTGCGACAGGCTCGGGCGAGGCAATCGCATTTTCAGATGTGCTTTGCGTATCCTTCGAGTGTTGTGCCGAAGTAGGGTTTCGACCATTCTAGAACACCCGAACAACTCGCGAATCTGGCACGCGCCCGAGTTTGTGAGCATTGTGCACCGATATATGGGGACACACCAGAGCTGTTTACCAGTGTCAGCTTGGGCGAAGCTGGCGGAAGCGTACGAATCTGGCTTTCTTTTTCATAGATAAAGCAGACGCTGGAAGATTCGATCGCAGATACCAGGGCAGCCTTGGTTTGTGTAGTCGCACAAGCCGCGAGCATTTCGCGTTAGAGGGGGCGGCGCCATCAGGCGTCAAATGGACAGCCATCGCAGCCTCCTACCCTCCAGCTCTGTGTAAGGCCATGGTCCAGTCGCTTCCTTCCAATGAGCGCGATTGAATCTCCACTCTAGCTTCTGGCTGACGCCAGTCTTCTGCCCCGCCAGTTTGTTTTAAATATGCGTGTTTTCTCTTGTTGCCCTGTCCCGCCCGTCCCTGGGGGCCCCCAGATTTGGGTGGCCCTCTTCGGGTTTGGGATGTTTTGAGCGGGGGCCTTCTTGCCTCTCGGGCCCCCGCCAGTTTGTGCACTGGCCGGCTGGCGCCCAGGTCGCGTCGACGCGCGGCGCCGCGCAGCAGAAACTGTGCCCGCGAGCAAACTGCAACAGCACCTGTGTGTGTGCTTGCAAGGGAAGGTGAGGGGCATTGTTCGGGCGATGTCTCCCGCTGCCACGATCTATACTCAAGCCTCTTCTTCTCTCTTCCCTCCCTCCCTTGGCCCTCTCTCTCTTTTTGAGGTGTCTTGGGCGGGGGCTTTGTCACCTCTCAGGCCCCCAGGCCCCCACCAGTCTGCGCGCTGACCGGCCGGCGCCCAGGTCGCGTCGACGTGCGGCACATTGTTGCAGAAATTGTCCCCGCGAGAAAAATACAACAGCACCTATGTATATACCTATGCGACCGCCCTGCGGGCGATGAGGGGGTTGGGGGGGGGGAGATCAAATGCCCACCCCGACTGACCTTCAGCCTGTAGGATGGGTTGGATTGGAAGAGATGGATTGGATAAGATAAGATGGATTGGATTGGCCCGCCGCAGGCACATAAACAAATGAATTGATGGATTGGGTTGGGTGGATTAGATTTGGTAATTCATTGATGGATTGGGCTGGGTGGATTAGATTGGGTGGGATAATATAAGATGGGACAAGACGGGTCGGAAAACATAAGATGTATTGGATTGGACAAGATGGATTGGATAAGACAGGCTGGATTGGATAAGAATGCGCGCCGCAGGCGCCGAACAACATGAATATGAAATTAGCGACTGTATGCGTTAGCGCCGGGGCGCCCGGGACACCCGGGACACCCGGGACACCCGGGACACCGCCCAGCCCAACTGGGACACCTCCCGGCCACCAGCGGACAGGAAACGGACTCTCGCTCCTACTGACACCTGGGGCACCCGGGACACCGCCCGGCCCAACTGGGACACCTCCCAGCCACCGGCGGACGGGAACGGACTTTCACTCCTACTTCGGCCTAGCTACAGGAGGATCACGCGCAGCTTCGCCTCGCCCAAACGCACGACGCGAACGCGAAACCGAAACCGATTCCCCGGGGGGGCTCTCCGTTTCACTGCGATCTCACCCCCCAACATCCGATATATATATATATATATATATATATATATATATATACACACACGCATATTTATATACGCATATAGACCTATACGACCGCCCTGCGGGCGATGAGGAGGTTGGGAGGGGGATTGGGATCAAATGCCCACCCTGACTGACCTCCAGCCTGTCACCTTGATATCATATCTCTTTGTCTGTATGTCTCTGTCTCTCTCTCTCTCTCTCACTCTGTGTGTGTGTCTCTCTCTCTCTCTATTTCGCCCTCTCTCTCTCTCTCTCCCTCTCTATCAGAGTCTCCCTTCACCGCAATGATGATCGCGATGGCGATGAGATCCCACTACCTACCTATCCGTCGACCGACCTATCGGTGAATCTCACTGTCGATCTCACTATCGACCTCAAAAGCAAGGATGTATGTATTGAATAAGATACGATGGGTTGGATTGGAATAGATGGATTGGACTAGATAAGATGCATTGGATTGGCCCGCCGCAGGCGCAGAAACAAATGAATTGATGTATTGGGTTGGGTGGATTGGATTGGGTGGGATAGAATAAGATGGGACAATCTGTGTTGGATAAGTTAAGATGGTTCGGCTGAGACAAGATGGATTGGAGAAGAATACCCGCCGCAGGCGCCGCCAAAAATGAATCGATGGATTGGGTTGGGTGGATTGGATTGGTTTGGATAATATGGATTGGATAAGATAAAATGGGTTGGATTGGAAGAAGTGGAACATATAAGATATATTGAGTTGGATCTGATTAGAAGAAAATGGAATGGATTGGAAGAAAATGGATAAAATGGATTGGAAGAACATGGATTGGGAAAACATGGATTGGATAAGATAGATGGGTTGGATTGGATAAGATAAGATGGATTGGATTGGCCCGCCGCAGGCGCAGAAACAAGTGAATTTATGGACTGGGTTGGGTGTTTTGGATTGGGCGGGATAATATGGGATGGGACAGTATGGGCTGGAAAAGATAAGATGGATCGGATTGGACGAGGTGGATTGGAGAAGAGAAGCTGGATTGGATAAGAAAGCCCGCCGCAGGCGCCGAAACAAATTAATTATGAAATTAGCGACATGCGTTAGCGCCGGGACGCCCGGGGCACCCGGGAAACCCGGGACACCGCCCGGCCAAATTGGGGCACCTCCTGGCCACCGGCGGACGGGAAACAGACTTATGCTCCTACTGACACCCGGGACACCTGGGACACCGCCCGGCCCAATTGAGACACTTCCCGGCCACTGGCGGACGGAAACGGACTTTCGCTCTCACTTCGGCCTAGCTCCAGGAGGATCACGCGCAGCTTCGCCTCGCCCGCACGCACGACGCGAACGCGAAACCGAAATCGATCTCCCGGGGGGGTCTCCGTTTCACTGCGATCTCACCCCCAACTTCCGATATATATATATATATATATATATACATATATATATACACATGTATGTATGTATGTATATATATATTTACACATACATACACGCATCTAAACGACCGCCTTGCGGGCGATAAGGAGGTTGGGAGGGGGATTGGGGTCAAATGCCCACCCTGACTGACCTCGAGCCTGTCACCTTGATGTCATATCTCTCTTTCTCTCTGTCTCTCTCTCTCTCTCTCATTATCTCTGTGTGTGTGTTTTTTTGTTTTCTCCCTCTCTCTCTCTCTCCCCTTCTACCAGAGTCTCCCTCCACTGGATTGGATAAGAAAGCCCGCCGCAGGTGCCGACACAAATGAATTGATGGATTGGGCTGGGTGGATTGGATTGGATGGGATAAGATGGATTGGATCAGATAAGATGTGTTGGATTGGAATACCTGGATCGGATAAGATAAGATGGATTGGATTGGTCCGCCGCAGGCGCAGAAACAAATGAATTGATGGATTGGGTTGGGTGGATTGCGTTGGGTGGGATAGGATAAGATGGGCCGGGACATCGGTTTCGGTTTCGCGTTCGTGTCGTGCGTGCGGGCGAGGCGAAGCTGCGCGTGATCATCCTGTAGCTAGGCCGAAGTAGGAGCGAAAGTCCGTTTCCGTCCGCCGGTGGCCGGGAGGTGTCCCAGTCGGGCCGGGCGGTGTCCCGGGTGTCCCGGGTGTCAGTTGGAGCGGAAGTCCGTTTCCCGTCCGCCGGTGGCCGGGAGGTGGTGTCCCGGGTGCTCCGGGTGTCCCCGGCGTGCTGGCGCTAACGCATGTCGTTAATTTCAGAATTCATTTTTGTCGGCGCCTGCGGCGGGCTTTCTTATACAATCCAGCTTATCTGTTCAAATCCATCTTGTCCAATCCAATCCATCTTATCTTATCCAACCCATCTTGTCTCATTTTATCTTATCCCACCCAATCCAATCCATCAATTCATTTGTTTCTGCGCCTGCGGCGGGCCAGCCCAATCCATATTATATTATCAAATCAAGCTTTTCCAATCCAACTCATCTTATCTTATCCAATCCATCTTATCCCATCCAATCCAATCCACCCAACCCAATCCATCAATTCATTTTTGTCGGCGCCTGGGCGCGATCGCGGCAGACTGCGAGGCTTGCGCGTTCGGCGCCCTTGCCTTTCGGAAACCGCACCGTGGCGTCCCTCCGTCCGCCTGCCATAGAGAAGGAGAGAGAAAGAAATAGAGCGAGAGGGAGAGAGAGAGACAGAGAGAGAGAGAGACAGGGAGAGATGACATCAGGGTGACAGGTTCGAGGTCAGTCAGGGTGGGCATTTGATCTCCATCCCCCCCCCCCAGCGTTATCGCTCGCAGGGCGGTCCTATAATTATAGGTTTGTGTGTATACATATAACGGCGCACCGGGTCCGGGGGCCCGGGGCCGGGACCTCGACCGCAAATGTGCACCCCGGGGGGCCCGGAGGCTCGTCGGGGCTTGCCGGAGGCCTCCCCGGTCAGACAAGACGGCCCCAGAAACGCCCGAGACGGCCCAAGAAACTTCCAAGAGGCCTCCAAGAGGGTTCCGAGATGCTGAAGATGGCCTCCAGACGTCCAAGGACGCCCCCCAAGACGCCCCAAGAAGCCTCCAACATGCGTCCCAAAAAGGCCCCTAGACGCAAAAATTGGCCCATTCCCTTCGTAAAACGTACATTTTTCACAAAGTTGCCTTTTGGGCTTTCCGACATTACAGGACGGCCCAAGAGGCGCCCAAGACCGCCCCAAGACGGCC